GTGGTGGGGTTGGTGGTGATGGTGGTGATGAGGGTGCTGGTGATGGTGGTGGGGTTGGTGGTGGTGGTGGTGATGAGGGTGGTGGGGTTGGTGGTGATAATGGCAAGTGCACTTCAGTGTCTCAATCTCACCACTGAAGAGGCATTAATATATCTTTAGAGAATGTCACAAAGTTTAGTAGAAACACTTTTTCTAAAGGGCTACTGTTCACCCAAAAAACCACGTAATTATTCCCCAATAAATGGAGAATTCATATATTTTAAAATGAATAAATTAACTATAATGTAATTTATCAGTGCTGCTGGCCTCAAGGATGGAAATGTAAATAAAATCTTCCCTGTATCTGTCAAACAAATTAATGAACTCTTCCTTGACGACAAGCCATACTTTTCTGCCTTTTTTATTTTTTTAATTTATTTATATTTTTTCCATTTTTTAATTTTAATTCCAGTGTAGTTAACATACAGTGTTATACTAGTTTCAGGTGTACAATATAGTGAGTCAGCATTTCCCTCTGTTACTCAGTCCTCATCAAGATAAGTGTACTCTTACTTAATCGCCTTCACCGATTTCACCCATCCCTTTTTTAAAGTATATTCTGCAATTTGAATCCTTTAGCTGTTACCATTTCTGACACAATTAAGCTACCAATGCATTCTGGTCATGGTGAAACATTGCTCTACCCTGGAACTTTCTAAAAAGACCCGGACTGTTAGAAACAGCCACTCAGAAATAATACCCCTCTTTACCCAGCCCTGCTGGAAGATGAATCTTTATTAGAACCAACCTTTTCTTGGAGGCCCTCATAAAAAAGTAATGAAATAATCAGACCTAAAATATATTTATTTGCTTGTGTTTATGTGGCAAGGGAGAAAAAAATGAATCCTAGGAGGATCTCTGGATTTAGAAGATCCATCAATTTAAAATGCTCATTTGTCTACATATTGCTGCAACTGGAGAAGTCAGGTTAAAAAAAAAAAAAAAAAAAGTCTTGGTCCTTAAGTCCTAACATTACAGGAAGCATCTGCTTTGAGAACAATGACTCACGGCCTCTGATAACAGAGTAACCTTCTCCTTTGAAAGAGAGAGAGTGCTCCCAGAAATGGCATTCTCAATGAAACTGTAGGTCAACAGAGTCAGAAAACAGCCACTAAAAAATGCATTTTCTCTCTCTCTTTTTCAAAGATTCATTCTGCTCTCAGGATAGTGTTGTCTGACCCAGTATTGAGCACTTTAGCCTTCCCAGAGACATATGACCAACTCTCTTCCCAAAAGAAAAATCTAAGAAAAAAGTTTTAAAATGAGCCACAGTCCCCCCTTCCCCCATCTGCAGGGTTGGTACTATTTGCAGAAAAAAGAAAAGAGACTGATAAAGGAGATTGCAGAAAAGATAATGCAGTAGAAATTCTAAAATAAGAGTATACAAACATCTGAGGAAAGCCCAAATATTTATCAAAATCATCCATGTTATTCTGGACCTCTGCATTGCGGTAAAACTGCCACTCTAGAAGAGCCAAAATGATAATTCTTAGTGGATAAATAATGAATGTGGAACTACATTAAGTATTGTCTGCTCTGACTTAGTATTTCAATATTTTCTTTAGCCATTATCATAAGACCAGGATTCATTCATTTTCAGAAATAATAGTTCAATAATGAAAGCAAAAGTCTACCCTCATATAAAAGGAAATAATGCATCCTGCATCTTCTTCTTCAGTATTACTACTGATAAATATTAACAGCTGGTGTTAAATTCCTCATAGGTGCTGGATACTAACTTTCACTTTATACCTGCTCTGGAAAGTAAGTTTCATTATCCCCATTTTACAGGTGAGGAAATTGAGGCTCAGTACAGTTAGGTAACTGCACAAGACCATACAACTGGTGCTAAGACAATCTCAGATCTTAAGCACTAATCTACATTTCCTCTCCAGCGAAACAAGGCCTCCCACTTTCCTGACATAACTCCCATGAAAGACAAAGTGGCTTGGCTCCCATACACATCACCTCTTCCTGACTTCTATCCCAAACTTACCCTCCTAGTCAGTCAACCTCCAGTGGAGAAAAAAAAAAAAAACACAGATATAGATAAACTTTGATTTTACCTTCTTTCATGATGGTGTTAATTTCTCTATGTTAGTAGAGGATCAACATTTATAAAATGAACTATTGTGGAATCCCGTCCACCCTTCATTATGTGCCCTTAAATTAATTTTTTAAGATAACTCTTAACATTATAGGCATTTATGCCTCAATCTCTGCCCTCTGATGAAACATCTAAACATGCTTCTAGTTAATGGTGTTTATAGTTAGGTGGTAAGATTATGGGTGATCTTGGTTTATTTCCTTTACTTCCAGGATGTAAGCACCAAATATATACTACTCTTTCAATTAGAAAAAAAATACAATAAATGTTCATTTTAATGGGAAAAAAAAGCTTAAGTATTTACCCCCAAAATTATTTTTCCCTTCGTAATAAAAAGAAGACATTCATCGACCCAATTTAATCCTAAACCAGATTTGAATCCAAATTTAAGAGATGTGGGTTCTTTTACAAATGACTCTCACATTTATCATTTTTTCCTGTACCTTAAAAATTAAGAAATATTCCATAAAACTGAACTTTAACACTGTGTCGCTCTTTTCTTTTCCACAGGCCTACTTAATAAAATCCTTAGTACTCAATAAATATAAACATGGTTACATATGGTTTACATAAACTATATATAAATATATATCAGACTATTGACCTTGCCCATTTCCCTCTCTGGGCAGTCACTGGCCTACATTTCCCAGCCTCCTTTGCAGCTAAATGTGGCCACCAGAAGAGGAACAGAAGTGATATGAGCCCCTTCTAAGCCCATCCCATAAAAACCTCCCACATGAGAAACTCCATGCTCTTCCCCTGCAGACTTGGAAGACACATGTTGATGATGAGGGAGCCACAAAGCGGAAGGAACCTGGGTCTGTGAATCTCAGCTTGCGGGAGCATCCGGGAACACCATTTTGGACTCTACGTGAGCAAAAATTAAAAGTGTACTACTTAGAACACTGCAACTCTGGGGTTTCTCTGTTACCCTACCTAACATGTGGCTTTATTAACACACTGCAGTTACTACTACAGAAGGGTAAGACTTCATCTTGTTTATCTTACCTTTTTCAAAGACTCCTTCTGCTTCCAGGACAGAGACAGTGAGGTTGGCTGCCATCTTGACCAACTCGGCCTTCACAGTGACCTGGGAAGGGCTGTGTTCTAGAAGCTCTACCCCAATAGTCACATTTCCTCCAGGCCTGACGATCCCTGGGGCTGTCACCAGAAACCTAGGCCTGAAGTTCCCAAGAAGAGGAAAAACACAGTTTCTTATCTTTACATCTCCATTCTTTTCCGATCCTCAAATTTCATAGATAGTGAGATCGACTCTCCATACTATGCCAATTGCAATTGTTCCAATTACTCCAATATTGCCCCACTGTTCCATTTAGCAACTGCACTGAAATGCTATTGAGAAAGGAATTCTCATAAATCAATCTTAATGCAATAATTCCTGCACCACTAGAGGAGAGCGTGTGTTATTATTTCCATTTTATAAACCACAAACAGCACAGGATGAGCCTCAGTGTAAATAGCTTACACTGGGGCATGCAGAAGTTACTGGCAACGTACAAGCCTCTCAACTTCTCCTTTACAGACAACCTCATGCCAGTGTGATTTTTTTCTTGGCTTAAACACACACACACACACACACTTTGCGGTTTTTATTCAAACCTTCATTCATGGGCATCTGCCCCAGAAAACATCATCTAACAAATACCACTGACTGAAATATACCATCGGAAATTAAACGACCAGTGGTAAAATGTCCAGGGGTAGCAGTGCATAAAAGTCCGCAAAAACAGCACTTTCTCTTCCCAAGCCAAGGGTAAAGGCTCAACTGCAAAAACCCGTAGGAGAGGGGCACTTCCCATTCAGGTGGGTGTCTCATTAGTTATCTTCCTACAGTGTCTGCACCCGAACCAATTCACCTCAGTCACACCTTGCCAATGCCGAAGCTGAGAGACCTAGTTTAGAAAAAAATACATCACACGCCTTTGAGAAAAGAAGGCACGCTGTTCGGGAGGGGGGAAAATGTTGAGGAAAAGGCAGAGGCAACATGTACTAAAACTAAAACGTGTCTCTAGAAAGTCGTTATGGTCAGAAAGACGCTTCAACAACTTCCACGGGTGGAGAAGGTGACTGTCCCACGGAGAACCCAGGGGCAGCGACAGACGGTCTACCCTGCAGGCCGGTGCCCGGCTGGGGAGTGCGGCCGCGGGGCCGGTTCCCACCCGCGGCCGCACAGCCACCGCCCCCTCCGCCCGCCCGGCCCCGCGCCCCGGCCCGCGCCCGCGCCCGCGCTCCTACCGGGGGGCCGCGGCCAGCACGGCGGTCCACACGCACACGAGGTGGGCGGCGGTCAGGAGCTCCCAGCCCCGCATCTCGGCCGCGTCTGCCTGGGCCACCGTCAGCTCTTGGGGAAATTCGCGGGCGCCGCGGGGTGTGGCTTTCCACCTCCTCCCCGCTTTTTTTTCCCCTGACTCTGGAGTTTAGCAGTCTGAAATGGGCGCGCCTAAAAGCGGAGTGAGAAGTCTAAATTGAGACAGGACTTGGTGGCTCCACCCCTCCCACCGGCATCACAATGGCGCTTCTCGCTGCTCCGGCCAGCATCGAAAATCCTGGTGGGGCGCGGGGTCAGAAAGCTGTCTCTAAATGCGGTCAAGCCCAACCTGGCCCCGGCATCCCTGCTCCCCGCGGAGAACACAGGGCGCCCACTTCCCCGGGGCTGTTTACACTAGCGCTCTACCAGCGATGCCCAGAGTGAATAAACAGGCCCATCCTTGTGAGGAGATATTCAGAGCAGCTAAGCGAAGTGGAAAAAAATCATTGTCCCCCAGACTATGAGTCATAATTTTAGAGAAATGGCAAACACACACACACACATGCACACACACAGACGCCAAACCAAGGTATTTTCTGGGGAGTTGTTTAACGTATATGAAAGGACAGGAGAAAAACTATTTTTACTTAAAACACAAATGAAGGTATTTTGTTTGCCTCTCCAGGAAAATGCTGTGGTTTCTCCGTTGGAAAAAAAAAAAAAAAAAAGAGCAAGAAAGGAATGCTGGCACACGCAAAAGTTAGGTGTTGCTACTTGGAACTGGGAGAAGCAATTATCCAGGGAGATGCTTTATATTTTTGGCTGTCTCCACACACATTTGCTACGGACAGCATTCATTAGAACTGTAAAGCTGGGAGCAATTTGTAGAAACACAGTTAGGATTGGGGTGGCTCTCCTGTCCCAGTAGGACGGTAGCCGTGGTGCAGCAGTTACTGAGCTTACCCAGCTCCTCACCACCCTGGCTTGTCAACAGCTCCTTCTCCAGTTCTTTGGCACTGGCACCATCTTCCGATGACTCAGGTTTCACCATGACTACACCATAAAAGCAGAGAACTACCAGAAACTGTTGGAAAACAGGCACATTCAGTCCCTGACAACTTTTAAGTTTCTAATTCGTGGAGAAAAGTTTTACATGGTGACTTTTTCATGCAGGGCAAAATGCACAAGGAAAAGAGGTCAGCAAAGGGATGTCACGTGACAAAGCTATGTGCTAAATAAGGGAGAAAGTAGCACCTAGACAAACTGTGGGTTTTGGAATCCAGGAACTTGCTTTCCTCCCTTTCCTGTTCCACCCTTTTTCACCCTGCTGAACGGCTTGCAGAGGTCCCTTATGTCCCTATGTCTCCTGTAGGCAGCCTATCTTTAGTGGCCGGCTTCCTGTGCAGGCAGGACTTGAGGATAGTGAAAAGTGTCTGAGTGGATCCTTGGGTAGAGATCCTATCCTTGACAGAGCTATCACTGCTGATCTAGTCTCCTCCCCTATGTTGTTCAGAGTAGAGGACTAAGGTCAAGTGTAAGCTAAGCCCAGAGATCTAAACCAGTGCTTCTCAAACTCTAACATGTATGAGAATCACGTTGGAATGCAAACTCTATTTCTGGGATGGAGAATGAGATTCTACTTTACTTCAGTATACAGGGGGTCACAGAAGGTCTACAAATACAGGCAATTTGGGGGCACTTTGATTTAAAAGAGAAGTTGGGAACATGGAGAAAATTATTTTCAAGCTTCACAGAGATGGATCAATAAATTCAGGTTTATTCTAGAGGCAAGCAAATGCATTACAAGAAGACCTATAGAAAAGCTTAGAATGACCTAGTTATTTTATAAAATTAAATCTGTGCAGATCTTAAATTGATGTACCTCTCTGTTTATTTCTTCCTTTTCACAATACACACTTGTTGAAAAGCTTAACCGTACAGAAATTTAGCCATGTAGATTTGCATAGAGATGAAGCTACTACATGCCTGGTACGCAGTACTCAATAAAAATTTGTTAAAAGAATTAGCAAAAAGGTTCATCTCAAAGGCTTTTTTTAAAGTTTTTTTTTTATTTACTTGAGTGATCTCTACACCCAACATGGGGCTCGAACTCACAACCCCAAGATTAAGAGTCAGATGTTCTACCAACTGAGCCAGCCAGGCGCCCCTCAGAGTCTTATTTTAATTAAGAAAAATTAAAAATAGTCTGAGATTAACAATAAGAGATAGGGTTAAATAAATTATGGTATATCCATGCAACAGAATACTTGAAGTAATTAAAAATTATGTTCTTGAATTGGAGACTAATTATCTAGAGGTAAGTATTCATGATACACTGTTGGGGGGTACAGAATCTGTTTCATAAAACAGAATTTAAATATGATTCCATTTTTATAAAAATAAAGTGTATTTATGTATACATACACATTGTAGATATATGCATTGAAGAAAGAGTTGAAGGATGCTCACCAAAATGTTGTATGTATCCTGGTGATTACCTCTGCCAAGTTTTCTATAATGAGTATAAATATCATTTTCATTTAAGAAGAAAACTACAAAAGGGTACTGTTTTACTAAGAGGTCTTTAAGGCAACATCTTAGAAACCTTTACATAAAATTCATGAATTTTAATACTAAAAAAATTATGTGTGTTCCTCCCATGAAAACGGGCCTTTGGCATAAGAACTCCCCAACGTTCCCGTGTGCCTCCTGACCTGTCTTTAGGCTGTGGCTCAATGAGAAAGCAGAACCAGTATGAGACTGATCCTACCCAACCATGGCAGCCGAGGAGCAGCCATGGCCTCTGTGTCCAGTGTCGAACCTAAAGTCGCTCAAGGTCAGCCAAGGGGAGAAGAGCTAAATGTGGACAAGAACAAGGAAATATGAGGGAGAACTGGAACCTATGTCTCTCTTACCACCTCCAACTTTGATGTCTCGGGTAATCTGCAAGAGAAGCTGGTATCTTTCACCAAGAGCTGCATATGCACCTCGCCCAGAATTCAGAAAAGCTCAAGGAGGAGATCTTCTAAGAATTGGAGGAACACGGGGCCTCATTGCCACCCCACACCCACAAAGTGAGCTGGCAGATCAGTTAACAATGAGGGCCAGTGGCTCACCTGCCTGGCACCTTGCACTAACCTTCAGAGAGTAAAAAATACGGCTTCTGCTTCACTGCTGGCTTTCAAGTTCACACAAAATGTCTCTTGTGGCCAACACCAACTCAGAACCATACAGGAAGGGAAATTCTGAGACACTGAGCTCCATCTTAGATGAGTTGCCATAGTACAAAGCTACCAAAGTTTGTGCCTCAACAACTTGACAGCTGTATATACCCTTTTTAACCATATTTAACTTAAAAAACAAACAAAAACAGAAAAACTATGCTTTCACCTAGCATGATGCAACTTTCCCTCATACAACCAAACACAACATAACCCTCTCTCCAAGAGGGGATATAAAGTTCCTTTAACTGTCTTTGGATTTTGTTCATGCCTCTTCTAGCTGAATCACATTCTCCCTTTGAGACCCTATAACTTCAATATCACAGTAAAAGGTAACTACTATTAACACATATGGTAGAAGAATGACAGGGAGGAGAAAAATATTGGTTAATAATGTATACAAATATATTTATATCAAAACAAGAAGGAAATGCAAATAACTAGTACAGTCCTTATTTCTGCTACTGGTCATATGGAGGTAGATGGTATTTATAACTACCTTCTTCCACTATCTATTTCTCTGCCTTCAGTTCTTTCCATGGTTCTTTTTATGGTGAGGTGACCCAGATCTTCATTTCTGAAGGATGTAGGCCATTAACAGTTCTCCCTGTATTGTATTATTGTTTTCTATTGACTTTAATCACAGAACCTGGGAAAAGAACTAAGAAATGCCCTAGTACATCTTCTGCATTCCAGAAATACTTCTAATTTTCACTGTGTAGTAGCAAATCCTTGACAATCAGGATCATTCACTCACTTCTGCCAATAGAGTAACCTCTTCTTTGGCTATTGATTCACTGGCATGAGGAGCCCCAAGTGACCAGGTGGCAATCTCAACTGCCAGTTAAAGGGGAACATTGCAGTGTCCCCTACTGGGAGCATTGCTGTCTTGGAAACCAAGACCTCTGCACCAGCAGAGCCCAGTGCTGCTCTGGAATGGGAAGCAAAAATTTTAATAGTGGATCACTAGAGGTAATAGAGGAACCACTCTTATTCCACCCCTTTATTCTAGTAAAGCTGCCTTTGGGTGAAATATTAGTTGCTGATTTAGAACATAAACCACATCCTAGAGTCTATTGTTTGATTTTTTCACAAATTTGTAACTTTTCAGAAATATTGTATATGAAATTAGTGTCAACTTCTCTTCATCCTCTATTTGAGAACTATTTCAATAGATTCCTGCACAGAACACCAGAATATTCCCTGAGACTCTTTTTTAACCCAAGAGCAGAAGGAGAAAGTCCCTGTCCACTGGAAAACAAGGAATGATGTTGAAATTAACAAGGAATAATAATATTCCTTGGAATAATAATAATGAGACTTATCCTTAACTTTCTTTTTTTTTTAAAGATTTTATTTATTTATTTGACAGAGAGATAGCAAGAGCAAGAACACAAGTAGGGGGAGAGGGAGAAGCAGGCTTCCCGCCCAGCCGGGAGCCCGACGTGGGACTCGATCCCAGGACTCTGGGATCATGACCTGAGCCACAGGCAGACGCTTAACAACTGAGCCACCCAGGCGCCCTATCCTTAACTTTCTATATGACAGTCCAGAATTTAAAATTAGAGCTCTACGTCCAACCAAACTATCAAACAAGAGTGAACATTGAATAAAAATATTTTCAGAAATGGAATGGCTCAGGAACTTTGCCTTCCACAAATTCTTTTTAGGAAGTTACTTTAGGAGGACATATTTAGCAAACCAATGAAAAAAAAAAAAGCCAAGACAAAAGAAGATGTAAGACTCAGGAAAAAGTATATATAACCCCAGAGAGCAATGAAGAGAGAAGTTTCAACAGGAAGAAGAATTCCAAGAATAAGGCCTCAAGGGGGAAAAAGGGATCTTAATAGAATAGATAAACATGATGGAAAACTGGGGAGGGGTGGGGGAGGTTAGGGGTGAAGACTACAACAATGTAATGTAGTGCAATAAAAGGGAAGGGGAATTAGATACTTGAAGGGAAAGAATGCTGAATAAAAAAGGAAGTATAGGGGT